ATTTTTTCGCTCTATTTTAAACTGATTTGAAATTTTAAAAATTGCCTGCACATCAGCATCAAAATACCTTTCTAATGATATATAACTGTTTATACCTTAGAAGTATAGTTTAGCCGTAAAAGGGGTGTAAAGGAAACATGATTGCCTATTTATATAATGATTATTTGCTCTTACTAACCCATGTTTAGCTGCATTATTATTCTTAACACCAATATTGTTGGCGTTGTGTTGCTGATATTTTCGAAAAACTTGTTTTTCCAGCATGTAAACAACTACAACTATAGAAATAAGAGGAACAGCAACAGCAACAACCAGATTGAATGGAGCTGGTGCATACATACATACATATGTACATATTTATGAACAAGTTAATGTACGACCAGATAAATGGCTGTATAGGTACCCTGCAGCAAATCAAACTGGCTCAGAACTTGCGCTGAGCTAGCCTGAAAAGGGACGGACGGTACTGGTTCTTCATCTATCGCAACTCAATGCTTTCAACTGTCTTTTTAACATGGCGGTGTCAGTTATTTCTTCATTTTCTAAAACCGTTATACTTAAAAATAATTTGTATTTGTTACGTATAATGGGTATTTCTGCAATGCTTATAATTAAAAATCTAAACGTCTAAACGCTTATTTGTGATAACTCCGCGTTAAATTGTATTAAATGTATTGAAATGTAATACATAGACTCTCCGGCATTTTCCCTTTTGTTTTGTATAAAGTTTGAAAACACGGTTTATAAGATTTTTTTAAGCATGACAAATGTTTTTTATAAAAAAATAAAAAAAACAAATTTTAATTCTTCATATATTCTGAATAATTAAAAAAGAAATGGTATACGCAGACTTTTGCTGTTAAGTGTAGATTAACTAAATTTTATGGTCATAATTTGCATTCAATTTTATACGTATGTATATACCTATGTACAAGAATGACATTAATGCTACGAATAACGACTTTTTTGGAAATATTTTAGCAGTTGCCTCATAAAATAAAGAATTACATATTAAGTAACCGAAAACAGTTTTCTATTACTTTTAGGGTCTAAGAATATCGAAAAAATATAGTATTGTACATTTTTGCATCTTTTGTCAGCTTTCACATGTCTAGGATGAGTAACATCTATGACAGTGCAACTGAAGTAGTTCACAGACAGTTCAGAAATTTGTAGAGTGGAACTAGCGTTTTGCCAGGCTGTCTCTAAATTTTGGTGCAGGGTAGGTAAGTACATACTATATGTACATACATACATATAAGCAAACAAAAAAAAAACATAAACACACACAGATATGAGGCAGATCTACCCGCGCGTCTTTGGAAATTTAAGCCAACATCCACTTAGACATCACCCTGCGGGGAAACCCCGAACTAATGAACTAAATTTTTAGTTCCGTACTAGATCTGTATCGCCAAAAAAAGAACTAGTCCTTTTTAACTAGATCCCCATCAGTTCAACGGTATGTGGTACTTTTAGAAAAGCTATTTCATTTTGCTTCTTAAAACTGCATATCGCTAGCTAAGTCCACTTTTCCAAAAATTATATTTTCATACAGAAACTAAAAACAATTCGAAATTTATCGTTTTATAAAAGATCGAACTAAATACCTATTTGATTACCAACCATGTCTGTTCAGAGATATACAAATAACAACTAAGTTTACTGTACAGACTTATACAAATGTATGTTGGCTTTACATATACATATTATTAATATTTTTATTACTTCGGGAACACTCTCGCTGCAACCTTTTTGGTTATTGCTGTTTCCGACGAAAAATTACACTGAAGATGGCACAACGCCGAAACCGGTTTGTCTCCAAACTAAATTTGACAAGGGATAACGGAAATTCGTTCCAAAATACATCTAAGAATATCTATTGTTTTAAACCCTAATTGTAATCACTCCCACCTTAGGCTATTTAAGAAGTTAAGCACTTTGTGGAGGCTGTCATGTTCCAAATTTAGGATGGACAAGACAATCGTTCCACAAGGTGTATCAGTTTGCTGTTCGTGATACGTAGGGTTTCTATTGCATAGATTACGGCCTGGAATATAGTTGAGTATGTGCCTATTCAGAGACTTTCTTAGAATCTTGATCCATGTACGTCCCCCGTCGTCTAAAATCGAATCTAGCCTACCGACCTACCTAATGGAAATACACCTACCAGTTTTGGTAGGAAAAGCCCATCTGTGGCAACGCTGTTGACACCTCATAGGACATCTCTCTTTTTTCCTTCGCCAGTTGCTAGCATGTTAATGATACTGAACGCGCACTAGTCATTATTATAAATTCTCGAATACCGAAGTAGTTCGGAACTAGTGTGTTTCCTCACAGGGCAAGCACACATACTACAATACGAGCACTGAAATGGAGTGGCAGGAGCACAGCTCCACCAACATTGCTTGGCTGCTGACTTTTCTATGGCCGTTTGACTGTTTACTTGCTTGAGCTCCACTTAACTCGTCGCCGCGGCCGCCTGAGTGCTGCCTTCTCGGCTCTAGTGTATCTTTGAGATCTGTGCATAGTATGTAGCGCATGCCTTGCCGCCACAGGTCGGTCGGCGCTTTGTGTCTACTTGTGTGAAAACGGGTTAGGCACGAACAACAAGAAAATATACTAAATATATGTGTATATATATAGAGACAGCAAGAACAACAGCGGGACAATAAATACTCAAAGCACCGTATCTGAACGACAACAGAAAAGCAGCCATAACAACAACAACAACAAAACGGAGATCACACTGAAGGTGTTGGTTGGTGAAGCGAACTGGCGGGCGCGCGGGCAGGCTGAAAAGCATTCAAAAAATATCAAGCTGCAAATAAATCTTGCATGTACTGGATCAGCGATAAAAAAACTTGAAAACCGGAATACCGCAGAACATCAAAAACAAAGGAAAACTTTGGCTTCACGACATAATAATTATTAAAAAATATTTTTTTTTTATAAAAAATTAAGTTTTTAATGTTTTCGGTTTTATTTTCTCATCACTTAAGAAGATATTTTTTATGTGACTGGGTTTGTTTTCGTCTGCGCCATTCTTTGTATTCTAAGCTCTGTAGCTCTGTCAAAATTCGTTAGCTCAAAAAACGCGCTTGTGAGGATGCAACAGACTGAAAACTAAAAAAAAAAAAATACACAAGCACAAAGTTCGAAAGAGCCGCTCTCGTCGGGTCTAATAAACATATCTCACTTTAGTTATTTGGCTGCCGAAAAATTGAGGCACACACCACTTTATTATATTTTTCCACGCTCAGTATTAATTTTACGTCGACACTTTACACTGCATTTTTAAATTTATTGAAAAATTATTCACTAAAATGTCACATTCGTTTTGTTTAATCGAGCGTGTAGAAAACTTCGAGCCATCAATTTGGTGGGTATAGTATAACCGCGCACTGAGCCACTCAGACACTTTATGGCCGCTAACAACTCACTTTGTGCAGCAAAATTTACAGCAGATTTCAAGTTGTTTTACACTTCAATAAATCTGGCTTATTTCATTGTGTCCACTTAAGTTCTCGCCATTTCTTCGTAAATGAATACTTCATTGCATTAAAATATGTAATTTATTTTTATTTTTTTAATTTTTATTTGCATTTATTACATACTTCTTGCGTTTGCTCTCAATTAGATATCAACTTTTAATTTCACTTAAAAAAAAAAATGTTTCCATAAATTGACCGGCCGCACTTTCGAACTGTACACGTACACGTTTCAAACAAGACTCGTCGCAACTGTTGGAGACGCAAATGAAATTAGCAGCAACGCAGTGGCTCCCCAACGCCCGCACACACACACACACACACACACACAGAAAGTGAGTGCTCAAAAGCCACTCAAACATGTTTGAGCGCGGCCCCCACTGTACTCATTCTTTCGTGTAAACAACAGCAACAATCACAAAACTAAGCAGCCGCCAGAGTGTTCTGTTGGAATTTTTTTGTGTTATTTACTGAATAGTTGTTTCTTTTATTTTGCATTTGTCAACCTATGACGTTTCTGCTACTGAGGCACTTGACACTTGTTGTGTGTGGTCAGATTTCTTTAGCCTTAACCATACATAAAGTTCCAAACAATTGCATTCTTTGTCGTAGCTTCAAAAAAAATATGAATTAAATTGGTGTCAACGCACCCATTTATTTCATGGAAGCACTCAAATTGTGTGTTAATTATTAATTATAAATAGTACTCAGTTTATGTACATATTAAGAAAGTATTTAGGAGTTGTTATATAAATGTTAAATAAACTCAAATGTACACTAATTTATTATGAAAATAATAATGTATTATATATAATCTTTAGTAGTCTTTGTTGCTGTTTTTGACTCTATAAAAAAATGCAGCAACTGCAGAAGGGCTAATGCAATTGTATGCCGATTTTGATATGAGAACGCTACGAAGTTTCGACTATATGGAGGCAGGTGGAGAAAAGACATGGTGACAGTTGATTTAAAAAAAAAACTGGTTGGGTTTAGAGAGGAGCAAGTAAATGTCATGAGTACAATATTTTATATCATTTACTCACCCCGCCTCTCTACGACCGGTAAATTTCCAAAGAAATACTAGAATCGGCGCGCTATCGACTAATCAGTTTAGTTGCCTTTGGCGCTGAACCCCTTAAAGTAAGTGTTCCTTTTTCTACTGAATTCAATTTTTTTAGTGTCATGGAATATTCAAGTGAAGGTATTTATGATTTATTTGGTATATTTATTTTCTTATCTTTTTATCAAAAATTTACTTGACAAAAAAAAAACATTGAGTACCGGCTCGTCAGGTCTTGAAACGGTAAGGTTTATCATAAAAATAGGTTAGACAAAAGTATACATCATGCTATTTTCTCCAAAAACCGTTATAACACTTTTGTTCCTAAGAATCACCATTTCTGAAATACAACGACTTGATCGACATACATTTTGTAATAATTCATTTACCTTACATAATACTTTGAATTGAAGTTAATTTATTAACAGGAGGTATTACGAAAAACTCAGTCCCCTTGGGAGGTGCCACGGGCCCCTTTCCAAGAACCCACGTTTTTTCCATCAGTATAGTATTGATTTCATTTATCTCCATAGCCCCTTTGGATAATTGAGATAAAAACTACCCTATAATTTAAGTTGGGCTAAATGATACCTGTGTCCGAAATTTCATTATGATCGATTGAGTAGTTAAAGCGTGAAAGCGTAACAAACACACCATTCGCGTTTATATTAATAAGGATTATCCAGCACTGACCAATAAAATAATTTTTATGTGTGAACATTTTTTACATAGTCCCAAATACACAAACATAAAATATTACACCAGGGCTTATGCATTTTTTTACCTTTGAATGATTGTGCTCAACGGAAAACCAATATTAAGCAAAATATTACGTGCTGCTCAAGCGTTTTCTCAAGAAGATTTTTTCATACATACATATGTACCTACATACATTTTGTTGACTATTTCTTTGTTCACAACAACGAAGGGTAACGAGTGAGGATACCACCGGCAAGTCACTCAATCAAACAAATTCCACTCAAACATCAAACCGACTCCAAAGCTATCCAATCGAGCAGTAAATCAGTTGTTCAACCTGTTTTCTGCGTTTTTGAGCTCAGCTGCATTGATTCTTGTCGATGCCCACCACAGCTGCACTGACTTACCAACTTTCTGGTGTCTGATTTTGTTTACGAAATTGTCACCGAGCTAGCGTTGTGTGTCTGCTTCTTTGTTAGCATTTACTATTGTTTACCTCCCACCCGGATGACAAATGCACCAACAGCAAGCCAACGACACATAAAGGGAGCAAAGCAACAGCCAGGCAGCCAGGCAGCCGGGTAGACCTATTAGGTGAGCCGGCAATAGACGAAACAAAAAGCCACAGCATTGCTTAGAGGTGTACATACTTACATACTTACATATATCGATGCCAGGCATGCACTTACAGAAACATTAGGGGTATTCATGATCCGGTGCATACTGTCTGGCATGGTGCATAGATAGCATGGTTGGATAATTTTGTTGATGTTTCATATGTTCTATCAATGCACCATGCTAGACAGTATGCACGCGGATCGTGAATACCCCTAATATATTCGCGAATCCGTGGACCAAATATAGCAAAGCCGCGATTTTAGCTTTTCACTCTGACGTCGGGATTTATTTTAAAGGACTTTGTAATTTCAAAGATATGATTAATTCAATAAATTATTTTAAAAAAATCAGTGCAATATACAATAAAAATTTGGGTACCAAATGAAAGAGAAAATTTATTTAGAATTTAAAAATTAAAATAGTTTGGATTCACAAGGGCGAATAGGTAATTTTTTAAGCTGATAAGGGTAGAAGGATGAAATTCGAGGATGTTATCGAGTTTATATAAGTCCTTAACATATAATTTTTCATAAATAAACATTACATTTTCAGTACTAACCCATCTATATGCACCAAAAAATTGAATATGTTTAAATTCTGCAAAATTTTCTCTTTTATTTGATACCCATACTTTTTCCCTAAGAATATTTCACTGAATTTTTTAAATCATATTTGAATTACTGATGTCAGAGTGAAAAATTAAAAACGCAATTTTACTATATTTGGCCCTTTATTTCGTGAATATATTGATATTTTATGTGTAAAATTTACTATCGCACTGTGTTACATGTGTAATGAGCTAGACATTTATAAAAAAATATTAATTATTAAATGGAAAAAAGAAATAAAGCCATCGCTAGTCAACAATTAATTTTTCTTTGCGTTGTGATTAGTCATATGATTAATTAATCGTTTTTTTTTTTTTTGCCATCCTTAAAGTGAGCGTAGTTAAATTGAATTGAGCTGCATTGAACTTCTGCATCCCCTGCAGCCAGGGACCGAACATAACAGTTATTGATGAAAACTGTCGTCGATAACTGTTATCTAAGACGTACAATTTAAAAATCAAAAATAACTCTTATTTGCATTATTTGATTTTTTTAATTAAAAATCAGAAATATCTGTTATTCGAAGAGTAATTATATAAAAGTAAAAAAATAACTATTAAAGTAACTGTTACGGTCCCTGCCTGCTACTAAATATGGTGCTCGGTAGTGAATATAGGAAACATAAATGAAATTGAAAAATGTTTGCCGTGAATTGAAGCAGAAGTTTGCCGGCAGCGACTTCAAACATGCTATGCTGAACAGCCGAGCAAAAGCGGCTTGTCGCCATCCAGTCAATTGACTACAATGTGGCGACTGCCATTAGCGCTGACCGTCTGACGGACGCACTCGAAATACAGACGCCAAGAGCACACAAATACACACAATAGTTGCGAAAAAGGATCAGTTGCTTGTTGTTGGCACTTTATTTATTTAGTTGTTAAAAGGATGGAGAAAGTCGACATCGGCTTATTGTTAATGGAGGTAGTGGCAAAATATGCAACACTGCTGAGTGTCTGGCGGTCATTCGAGTGCATAAATCCTGACACGCACCATTAACAAGCCATTAAGTGGCGGTCGGTGCACGTGCAGGCACTTTATATACCCATGTACATAAGAGGGTAAAAATATATACATATGTATATGTATTTGTTACATACATGTTGGATTTTTTCTGTTCTTGGAATTGGCAAAGAAATCATTTAAATGGACACTGTGACTTAAATTCAAGGTCCCGTATTGATCGAACCTGTTTAAAGAGAACCTTGGACAGATTTTCCGATGGCTTAAATACTACAAGAAAAATGCAAGGGGCACACCACAAACTCTGCTATTTACCCTAGCTCAGCCAGGTCGGTTGAAAAATACGCGACCTAAAGCGTAAAATTTTTCTCATTTCTCTCTCTCTCTCGTCCCATTTTGACGCCAAAAGATTTTGACACAACTTTATCTCCTTTATTCATACACTTATCAATGATTATAAGGATCAAAAACAGATGGATACGATACGATTAAACACTTATCTTGATCGAAAACAATCGATATACCGCTTTCTAATCCCATTTTTAAAATGTGTTTTCACTTATTTGACGACCAATGCATTGAATTTGACATAGTGGAAGCAAGCCTTTATATAAAGTGTAATTTGTGTACGAGGATAGAGAGCAAACTTGAGTTCTCCTCCAGAGTAGACAGGATTTCCATTTCTATTTTGTCACTGTCAAGAAAACCCCATATAAGGAAATCTAGCCAGGCTCTAGACAGAATAATGACTCTTTGTAGAGAATTTCCGGTCGGGGGATTATTATTGGCGTTAATGCCGGTTCTCAAATAAACGAAGTCTTCTACTTGTTCGATTTGGTAACTGTCAACAGTGACGTGATTGCCCAGATAGGAATACGCTGACTGTTTACTTGATGGCAGGAGGCACTTCGTAATAATGTCCTCCGTCCCCGACAGGCCTTTTTAGCCTTATGAGTTGCATTTTCGTCCGAAATCACAACTGACGATCAATTTACTCGCCCCTCGACTCTCAAGACCAGGGCAAACTCCAGTAAGAATAACAATGGCGACCTAGTAACCAATGTTCAAAACGTATTTAAATCATGGAGGGAACACTTTTCCACCTTACCGAATGCTAGCAGCACAAAAAGTTGTAGAGAAGACGAACCCGAGCCCCCAATCGATGATGACGGAGTCGATGATCAACCGCTTGACTTTGACGATATACGAATGCGGCTGAAAAACAACAAAGCCGCTACAGGGGAATATGGTCTGATTAACGCATGCCCGACGACTGAAATTTGAGTGTACTCTGC